AGTCATCTTGTTTGGCATATATATGATGAGGATAAGATGGATTTAAGGAAGAAAGGAAGATATGGCAAAGACAAGTCTCAGAGATGAACCTGACCCCCAATCTATCAGACATGCAACAGTAATAATGATTGCAAGGAAAGATTGCATTAAAGCAAAAGACATATCAGGTATCTCTGTAAACAGCAGGAGGGGAAGAGTTTACTACAATAATTATCTGACGCAAACATTTTTTGCGAACATCAAATAATTCTGCACAACAGGGTGCTATATTGTTTGGTTTACAAATTTTGTGAAAGCAACTTATACACATTTTATGTCATCTGGGTATATTTTTTCTATTGCTTGAAGACTACTAAGACCAAATCCAAAAGCTAAGCAGGGATGTTTTTTCAGATTTGCAGTATTGTTTCTCTCTACAGTCTCTACAAATACTGTATTTTTCACTCCATAAGAAGCACCTGACCATAAGACGTGCCTAGATTTTAGAGGAGGAAAACAAGAGAAAAAAATTCTGAACCAATGGACTGCAGACATAGTACAGGAAATGACCAGAGACTGCAGACATAGTACAGGAGATGACCAGAGACTGCAGACATAGTACATGAGATGACCAGAGACTGCAGACATAGTACAGGGGATGACCAGAGACTGCAGACATAGTACAGGAGATGACCAGAGACTGCAGACATAGTACAGGAGATGACCAGAGACTGCAGACATAGTACATGAGATGACCAGAGACTGCAGACATAGTACAGGAGATGACCAGAAACTGCAGACATGGTACAGGAGATGACCAGAGACTGCGGACATAGTACAGGAGATGACCAGAGACTGCGGACACAGTACAGGAGATGGCTAGAGACTGCGGACATAGTACAGGAGATGACAAGAAACTGCAGACATAGTACATGAGATGACAAGAGACTGCAGACATAGTACAGGAGATGACCAGAGACTGCAGACATAATACAGGAGATGACCAGAAACTGCGGACATAGTACAGGAGATGACCAGAGACTGGGGACATAGTACAGGAGATGACCAGAGACTGCGGACACAGTACAGGAGATGGTTAGAGACTGCGGACATAGTACAGGAGATGACAAGAGACTGCAGACATAGTACATGAGATGACCAGAGACTGCAGACATAGTACAATAGATGACCAGAGACTGCGGACATACTACAGGAGATGACCAGAGACTGCGGACACAGTACAGGAGATGACCAGAAACTGCGGACACAGTACAGGAGATGACCAGAGACTGCGGACATAGTACAGGAGATGACAAGAGACTGCAGACATAGTACAGGAGATGACCAGAGACTGCAGACATAGTACAGGAGATGACCAGAGACTGCGGACATAATACAGGAGATGACCAGAGACTGCAGACATAGTACATGAGATGACCAGAGACTGCAGACATAGTACAGGAGATGACCAGAAACTGCAGACATGGTACAGGAGATGACCAGAGACTGCGGACATAGTACAGGAGATGACCAGAGACTGCGGACACAGTACAGGAGATGGCTAGAGACTGCGGACATAGTACAGGAGATGACAAGAAACTGCAGACATAGTACATGAGATGACAAGAGACTGCAGACATAGTACAGGAGATGACCAGAGACTGCAGACATAATACAGGAGATGACCAGAAACTGCGGACATAGTACAGGAGATGACCAGAGACTGGGGACATAGTACAGGAGATGACCAGAGACTGCGGACACAGTACAGGAGATGGCTAGAGACTGCGGACATAGTACAGGAGATGACAAGAGACTGCAGACATAGTACATGAGATGACCAGAGACTGCAGACATAGTACAATAGATGACCAGAGACTGCGGACATACTACAGGAGATGACCAGAGACTGCGGACACAGTACAGGAGATGACCAGAAACTGCGGACACAGTACAGGAGATGACCAGAGACTGCGGACATAGTACAGGAGATGACAAGAGACTGCAGACATAGTACAGGAGATGACCAGAGACTGCAGACATAGTACAGGAGATGACCAGAGACTGCGGACATAATACAGGAGATGACCAGAAACTGCGGACATAGTACAGGAGATGACCAGAGACTGGGGACATAGTACAGGAGATGACCAGAGACTGCGGACACAGTACAGGAGATGGCTAGAGACTGCGGACATAGTACAGGAGATGACAAGAGACTGCAGACATAGTACATGATATGACCAGAGACTGCGGACATACTACAGGAGATGACCAGAGACTGCGGACACAGTACAGGAGATGACCAGAAACTGCGGACACAGTACAGGAGATGACCAGAGACTGCGGACACAGTACAGGAGATGACCACAGACTGCAGACATAGTACAGGAGATGACCAGAGACTGCAGACATACTACAGGAGATGACCAGAGACTGCGGACACAGTACAGGAAATGACCAGAGACTGCGGACACAGTACAGGAGATAACCAGAGACTGCGGACACAGTACAGGAGATGACAAGAAACTGCGGACTTAGTACAGGAGATGACAAGAGACTGCGGACATAGTACAGGAGATGACAAGAAACTGCGGACTTAGTACAGGAGATGACAAGAGACTGCGGACATAGTACAGGAGATGACAAGAGACTGCGGACATAGTACAGGAGATGACAAGACTGCGGACATAGTACAGGAGATGACCAGAAATTGCGGACATAGTACAGGAGATGACCAGAAATTGCGGACATAGTACAGGAGATGACCAGAGACTGCGGACATAGTACAGGAGATGACCAGAGACTGCGGACATAGTACAGGAGATGACCAGAAATTGCAGACATAGTACAGGAGATGACCAGAGACTGTGGACATAGTACAGGAGATGACCAGAGGTGGCACACCTTTGGGGGGGCGGGTACCTGAATTTGACAGGTACCCGCTCCCACTTCCACAGAGTTGTCCTCCCCCTTCCCTCCCCGTAGTCTTTTGGGACATTTGACAGGTCCCACAAGACTACGGAGCCATTCACAAAGCACATGAGCAGTGGGCACCCGGATGTGAAGCCTCAAGCTATCACAGCTGGGTGCCCACACTGAAGATGCCGGAGCCAGGGAGAGAAGACTGGCGATGGAAGCAGGACACCACTGGACCGAGGAATAGGTAGAGCAGTAGAGCTGAGCGGCCGGCCCAGTATTCTAATACAGGGCTGGCCGCTCCATATTTGCTCCATAAGACGCACAGACATTTCCTTCCATTTTTTTGGGGGAAAAAAGTGCGTCTTATGGAGTGAAGAATACGGTAGTTATTCTCTACTATTATTCATTTATACACCCATATCCTGTTATTGGCTAACCTCTAAGCATCTGGGCACATGGCACTACAATACCAAGCACGAAAAGGACAATAAAAACACAAAGCAAATCATTAATCTCCTGATGCTATGCACTGGTGTTAGCAGTAGACACCCACACCCTCAGATGCATTTGTGTTTGGTATATAATATACACCTTAGGATCAGGAGCTAAAAATATCTGTAGGTGGAAAATAACCACAAAACATGTTCTTCCCTCAATCCACTGGAGTATATGGAGAACAAACAGAAAAGCCTAAGTGGAGCACACTGAAAGTTATTGTGGAAAGAGTTCAGTGAATGAATGAACTACAAATCCCAACAGCCTTTGCAGCTGTCTGCTTGCAGTTCTCAATGAACTACCTTAGTGCTGTTGAGTGCTGTAGTAGTCCATTGATTTGTCCTGTCACACTGGGGTTTATTTACTAAAACCGGAGAGTGCAAAATCTGGTGCAGCTCTGCATAGAAACCAATCGGCATCCAGGTTTTATTGTCAAAGCTTAACTAAACAAGCTGAAGTTAGAAGCTGATTAACTACCATGCACAGTGCTCCAGATTCTCAGTGTATCAGTTTTAGTAAATCTACCCCAGCACATCTGATTGCCCATATAAGGTACAGATACACTGACAGGTTTGCAGGAGTCCCTGAATGGCACCAATGATCTTCCAATCACTGGAGCACTGCTTTCCAGGCTCCAAAAAAGTAGATTAATGTTTTTTACCCTAAAAAAAAATGGGCATTAATTTATTTTAAATTGAACTTATCCATTAAGCTTTTCTATTTGTGTTAGGTAGCCCATCATTATTGCTTTGGTGTGATGATACTGACCAGCAATGACTAAGGACAACTTTCAATACAAACTACATCAAAGTGGTCTTTTTATTCTGCTGCATTGCTGCACAAAATATATGCAACTTTGTATTAAAGGATAAATTCACTTCTTAAAAAATAATAAATGCACATCTTTTTTGCAGGTTACGCTGTCCTACTAACGGTTAGCTGACAGCTAGCTAACAAAACTGATAGAAGCCGAGTTATATTCCATTCCAAAACTGAATTTACTTCTATGAATAGTTCTGTAAAACTGCAATACAATCACATAAACCACATAAACTAAATTACAATATGCTTGTAAATATGTCTCACACAAATGCATACAATGAACACATTTCTTACAAACAGCCATCTACAAATTACCGTATTTTTCGCTCCATAAGACACACTTTTTTCCCCCCAAAAAAGGGGGGGGGAAAAATGTCAGTGTGTCTTATGGAGCGAATACAAAGTGGCTGGTCCGATATTTCTGCCGCCACCATGTCAGAATATCGGGCCGGCCGCTCAGCTCTTCTCTCTTGAAGGAACCTTACCTGTTCCTCGCTCCAGCGCTGTACAGTCTTCCCGTGCCGGCTTCTGTGACAACCGGGTGCCCATTGCGCATGCGCGAGAAGCGCTGCACTTTGTGAATGGTCCGGTGTCTTCTGGGACACATGACAGGTCCCAGAAGGTGCCGGACCATTCACAAAGCGCAGCGCTAATCGCACATGCGCAGTGGGCACCCGGCTGTCACAGAAGCCGGCGCAGGTAGAAGAGGGAAGGACAACTCCGCAGAAGTGGGAGTGGGTACCTGTCAAATTCAGGTACCCGCTCCCCCTCCCTCCCCAAAGGTCTGCAGTCTCTGGTCATCTCCTTTACTGTCTGCAGTCTCTGGTCATCCCCTGCACAGTCTGCAGTCTCTGGTCATCTGTACTATGTCCCTGGTATTTTCCTGTACTGTCCGCAGTCTCTGGTCATCTGTACTGTGTCCGCAGTCTCAGTCTCTCCTGTACTGTGTCAGTCTCTGGTCATCCTGTACTGTGTCCGCAGTCTCTGTGTTCACAGTCATCTCCTGTACTGTGTCCACAGTCTCTGGTCATTCCCTGTACTGTGTCCGCAGTCTCTGGTCATCTGTACTGTGTTCACAGTCTCTGGTCATTCCCTGTACTGTGTCCGCAGTCCTCTGGTCTCTGGTCAGTCTCTGGTCATCCTGTACTGTGTCCGCAGTCTCTGGTCCCATCTCTGTACTGTGTGTCCGCAGTCTCTGGTCCATCTCCTGTACTGTGTCCACAGTCTCTGGTCATCTCCTGTACTGTGTCCGCAGCAGACTCTGGTCATTTCCTGTACTGTGTCCGCAGTCTCTGGTCATCTCCTGTACTGTGTCCGCAGTCTCTGGTCATTCCCTGTACTGTGTCCGCAGTCTCTGGTCATCTCCTGTACTGTGTCCGCAGTCTCTGGTCCATCTCCTGTACTGTGTCCGCAGTCTCTGGTCCATCTCCTGTACTGTGTCCGCAGTCTCTGGTCCATCTCCTGTACTGTGTCCACAGTCTCTGGTCATCTCCTGTACTGTGTCCGCAGACTCTGGTCATCTCCTGTACTGTGTTCGCAGTCTCCGGTCATCTCCTGTACTGTGTCCGCAGTCTCTGGTCATTCCCTGTACTGTGTCCGTAGTCTCTGGTCATCTCCTATACTATGTCCGCAGTCTCTGGTCATCTCCTGTACTGTCTTCGCAGTCTCTGGTCATCCCCTGTACTGTGTCCGCAGTCTCTGGTCATCTTCTGTACTGTGTCTGCAGTCTCTTGGTCATCCCCTGTACTGTGTCCGCAGTCTCTGGTCATCTCCTGTGCTGTGCCTGCAGTCTCTGGTCATCCCCTGTACTGTGTCCACAGTCTCTGGTCATCCCCTGTACTGTGTCTGGTCAGTCCCCTACTGTGTCCACATTTCCCCTGTACTGTGTCCTGCAGTCTCTGGTCATTTCCTGGTCAGTCTCTGGTCATCTCCTGTACTGTGTCCACAGTCTCTGGTCATCTCCTGTACTATGTCCGCAGTCTCTGGTCATTTCCTGTACTGTGTCCGCAGTCTCTGGTCATCTCCTGTACTATGTCTGCAGTCTATTAGTTTGGAATATTTTTTTTCTTGTTTTCCGCCTCTAAAACTTAGGTGCGTCTTATGGTCAGGTGCGTCTTATGGAGCGCTAAATACGGTACATTAAATTTATTGAAATGCAGTCTAAATATCTATATGACTTTACCAAACACAATGAATTCACTAACAGGCATATTATGTGTATCAAAGGGAGAAGTAGGCCTTTACTGGTGTGATTTTTTGGGAGCTAAACTGGAATTGTACTGATCTGATAGCGAAACGTCCTGTTTCCTGCTTCAGAAGCAATTGCAGTATTGTCTCACCTAATGTTATGCTATATTTCCAATCAGGTCATGCTATGACACATATGACTTATTGTCAGTTGTATTTCAGCTATAATATGTGATAAGGCTATCTTCATTGATAAATGGTCAGTTTTCTGCTGTCCCTTTTGATTGTTTACTATGCTATAGTTCATCATCTTTTTGACATGTTGTGATATGCATATTTGGATTTGGGCCTGAATGATTACTCTGTTCCTCTGGGGTTAATATGATTCCATTTCACTCCTATTAGGATGATTGGAACTCTTATCATTCTGATGCTCAATTATTATGCCATCTAACATAGCCATAGTATGACGATATATCGCAATTCATCTACTAAGTAATGTGGTATTTACCACTTCTGTGGATAATGGATATAGTTTAATTTATGGAGCTTATCCATGACAAGTGGATTCTAGTCTTAGGCCATCGCAATCCGAATTGCTCAACTTTTTACAATTGTGATGTGTATTTTTCACCTTGCAAGGTTTCACTTTTTATGTGAGATTCATATTAAAGTAATTTTTGTACCACTAACTACTCTGGGTTTATTTTAAACCGTTACTTCACAGCCTTTCTATAGAGCTGTTTATTTTTTGTATGCTTAAGTGTTTCGGGATTAACCCACATCTCTATTGTTTGTTTGTTTTTTTTTCCATAAAGTTTATTAATAAGCTCAGAGCATACAATATGTACAGGTAATACAAGGTATCAGTGGGAAATACAATAGGAGGTAACGCACATACAACGAACAAAAAGATACATAGCAATACATAGACAAAGAATCAGATGTAAGTCATCCCAGGGAAAAGAAAACAGGGGAAAAATGAGGACATGCAAATGCAGAAACATTAAATGCATATCTCGTCTCAAGCCCTTATTCAGCATATTGGAATCACAGCACTGGCAGGGTCAATGATATATAACCTCAGTTACCGAGCAGCAGCAAAGAGCAGGGCCAGTGAGCCAAAGGTATGCGTTGGAAATATATACAGTAGGTGTGGAGGGGGGGTGCAAGGGCTTGTAGGATATGGCCTTGTACTTTTCATGAAACTGAGGTAACCCACTACAGGTTGCCAGCATGTGGGTAAAGGGTTTGGGAAAGGAGATATGTAAAAGTAAAACATATGAGCAGCTGGATTGCAGATAGGGAGTAGGGCTCCTATGAGTAGAGACGTGTACCAAAATAGAAAGGGGAGAATGAAAGATAAACTCTGAGTAAGAAAGCAGGAATTTGGGGATTAAGAATTTAAGAATAAGCATGAAAAAGAAGGGAAGAGAAGAGAAGAAGAAAAAAAAAAAAAGGGGGGGGGGGGGGGAGATGGGTTGGGGAAGGGTCAGACGGGGAGGAGGTGTGGAGGAGTAGGAGGGTAGGTAAGTCACCTTTACTCTAGACTCCCAGGACATGAGAGATACGCACAACCCTGGTAGAGAAGCGAGCTGGGGACAGTTGCAGGCGTATCAGGGTGCCAAGCGTAGTTTGCTCCAAGCAGTACAGGACATCGAGACAAAGGACCTCAATCACAACCTTGAAAAAAACAGAGAGTCGATATATCGCCAGAAACACTACGGGGTATCAGAGAGATTCAGAATCACTCAGCAAGACCCATGAAAGAATGATATTCAGGGGTCGTTCGGAAGTGAATCCAACAGGACCACGTTTGAGAAAATTTAGTAGGGTTATCCAGAGAAGAAGCATTTCAGCAATTCTGTTCAAGCGTATGAACCAATCTCTCACTGTGGGGGGGTGAACAGACCCCAGAGAACCTGTAAGTAGAGTTTGGTCGCGTTAAGCATATGCATAGCCAGAGATTTGAAATATAGACGTTTGGGAAGCGGAGTGTGGGGGAGGAGGAGTTGGGCCAGAGAGAACTCAATATCAAGAGTAGACACCGAAGAAGTAATCCGATGTACCTCCTGCCAAAAGGGCTGAGCCATAGGGCAGTCCCACCCGATATGGAGAAGAGATCCAACAGGAGCCCCACATCTCCAACAAATACTGGGTCTGGATGGATTAAAATGATGGATTCTAGAAGGTGTATTGTACCAACGTGTCGCCAACTTGTATCCGTTTTCTTGTGCCGAAACATTCAAGAAGCACTTATGAGAAAAGGTAAAGATTTGGTCTCAATCAGAGGAATAAAAGTCAATAATTAAGTCTCTTTTCCAAGCTATGCAGGCGGGAAGTGAATCAGAGGTTCTGTCACCAAGAAGAAGCAGATAGGTAAATGATACTAAAATGCCTCCGTGGTTCAGCCTTTGAACAGAGTGACTCAATGGAGGTGAGAGGGCGGACCCATTTACGGCGATATGCAGGAGAGAGAAGAAAATGTCTGATTTGAAGATAGGCCCAAAAGGGAAAGGTGAGATCACCCATAGTACTTGCCAGGGAAGAACAAGACTTCAGCTGACCTTTGTGAAAAAAATGGTCCGCTAAAACTTGGCTGTGTGGCCAATGTGCTGATGGAAAGGACTTATGCATACCGGGAGGGTAGTCTGGATTGAGGCAAAGAGAAGTTAGTGGGTTGGGGGCATCCGAAATGGAGGCCAATTTACAGGCTAAGCGAAAGGTTTTAAGGGAAGGACCGATTATTGGATGTAGGAGGAGGTCTTGAGGAATGTGTTTGGTCAGAAGCCACGGGATCGATGCCAAGGGGGAAGTGGAACAACAGTGTTCCACCTGGACCCACGCTTTGGAGGTAAAGTGAATATTCTACTCGATTATCCTAGTAAGATGGCAGGCCCAATGGTAGAGTTGCAGGTCAGGTAGTCCAATCCCCCCTTTGGATTTGGGGAGCACAAGTTGGGAGAAGGAAATACGTGGCCATTTATGATTCCAGAGAAAAAGAGAGCACATGCTTCTGCATGAAACGAAAAAGGCAGGTGGTAAATGGATAGGTAAGGTTTGAAATAGATAGAGGAGGCGTGGGAGGATATTCATTTTTATTATAGCAGCCCTACCAAACCAGGAGAAGCATGGGCGATGCCACCTAGTTAGGTCTGCTTGGATGGCAACAAGGGTTGGAATGTTTTTGACATAAAGATCAGAGTGGTTACTCGTAAGCTGTATTCCCAGATAGGTAAGGGAGTCCCTTTCCCATTGAAACGGGAACTGTGACTGACAAAAGGAAACCAGGTCTGGAGGAAGAATATTGTTTAAGGCATAGGATTTGGAATGATTAATTTTGAGGTTCAAGATATATTGAAAAAAGGAAAAATCCTTAAGTAGGTTGGGTAAGGTGATCCGGGGCTCTGTCAAAAACAAAAGAATGTCGTCTGCATAGGGAGCAAGTTTGTATTCCTTGTTCGCCACGGAAATACCCCTGATATCTGGGTTTAAGCGCAGTTTGCGTAACAATGGTTCTAGTGATATCACAAAAAGAAGCGGGGAAAGGGGGCAACCTTGGCGCGTACCATTCACAAGAGGGAATGGATGAGATAGATGCCCATTCACACGGACCTGAGCCGTTGGACCAGAATACAGTGCCATAATGAAATTGAGCATGGTGTCCCCTAAACCAATCGCCTGTAGGGATGCCTTTAAGTAATCCCAGGACACCCTATCAAAAGCCTTCTCGGCATCTAGGGAAAGAATAAATCCTGGACTGCGAGAATCGTGAAGCCGGTGGAGAAGGTTAAGAGCTTGATGGTGTTATCCCTTGCTTCCCTTCCGGGGATGAAGCCCACTTGGTCAAGGTCAATCAGGGAGGGTAACAAGGGAAGGAGACGGTTGGCTAGGATCTTTGCGTAGATTTTGATGTCTACATTCAAAAGAGAGATGGGTCTATAATTGGTAACCAAAGTGACATCTTTACCTTCTTTGGGGATGACAGTGATATGAGCTTCCAGGAGGCGATGATGTTGCATGGAGGGTGAAGAGAAAGTGTTGAAGGCGGAGAGGAAGGGTCCACTCAAAATATCTAGAAACTCCTTGTAATATGCCACAGAAAGACCATCAGGGCCTGGGCTTTTACCAGGTTTCATTTGTTGGACGGCACAAGAGAGTTCCTCCACCGTGATATGATATTCCAAATCCTGAACAGTATCATTAGGTACAGTGGAAGGACTATAGAGGCGAAGAAAGTCAGAAATTAGGGTTTCTCTAGGCTTATTGGCCTCAGAAGGGCGACGTTCTGGAGGGAGATTGTATAATGTTTTGTAGTATTGCTCAAAGTGAGATGCTATATCCGCATTTGAGGTGGCCAAAGAGCCATCCGAGCCCCTAATCTTGTGAACCGTTAAACTCGACTTTTTTGTCTGGAGGGATCTGGCTAAGAATCTCCTGCTTTTGTTAGCAAATTCATAAAAAAGTTTGTGCGACAAAATGAATCTGCGCTTACCTGCCTTGCCTAGTTCGTTTAAGAGCTGTGTGCGGGTGTCCGTCAGATGAGATAAAGTCGAGGCGGCCTGATTATGTTTGTGCGCCTTTTCCAGGAATTTAATGAGATCTAAGAGTTGTTGTAAGCGAGTCTGTCTCTCTTTTTTACGTTTTGTGGCCATAGCTATTAGGACTCCTTG